ATCAAAGTGAACCTGATGTATTCTCCCTCCAGACGCTGATGAGCGTTATCCAGGGGAGGCAGTGTGAATAGCATAAATGAACTTACTGAATGGGGTATGAGCTGCATCTTCTGGCGTGGATATATGGGGGCCGATGGTGCTCAGACGCAGCAGTTTTAAGAGAATGAAGTGTGTGGGTGAAGTGCTCTTATGCTGCATTGCGAGTTTTGTAGGAACACTGACCCTCAGTGTCTTACAAAAAAACATCAGCTGAGGAATTCTATTAAAAGCACAAGCAGATCTTCCGCTACAGCAGATAAGCCGGTCTGTTTGAAAGCGAGACACGATTTATGTGCACTGTCACTGTTTGGCTTTGCAGTCTATCATGCTTGTCACTCTGCATTTTGGTTCCTCGGTTGTGTCACCGGCTTTGGGCAGGTGACACAACTCTGTGTCTTTGGCTAAATCTTGTGTTAATAACACGCTGGCTTTGTTCTCAAATGTTCATTTCACAGTGCAAGATCCACCATTAAGAACAATACTATTTTTTCAGTTCTACAGCATTCCATTTGGACTGTGAAATGCACTGACAATTGGCTGACCTAGAAAATGCCCTGTTTACCACACTTAGCACATGGCAAGCACACAGTCAGAAGTAGAGAGACGTTATCACAATGATCTCTACAGAAATAACCATTATATTATCATCATATTTCACATAACATAAAGCAATACTAGCAGAATGGCCAGTCGCAGCAAGATGTCTACTATTCTAGGCTTGCTGGATGCTAATAACTGCATATTTCAAGCAGATATGCAGTGTAAGTGTCCATTGCCGGTAAGCAATTCATGTATGCATTAAAGTGAAACACCTACACTAGATGTCCAAAATGATGTGAACACTCCTTGTAATTATTCAGCTCATTATAAAGTTGAAGTTTTTCATCCACACCCATTGCTAACAGGTGTATAAAATCAAATACATAGCCATGCAACCTCCATAGACAAACACTGGCAGTAGAATGGGTCATACTGAAGAGATCGGGGACTTGAAACACGGCAATATCATGATTATAATAGGATGCCACAGGTAATTTTGTGAAATTTCTGCACTGCTAGATTTACCCCGGTCAACTGTAAGTGCTACTACTGTGAAACAGAAGCATCTATGAGTAACACCAGCTCAGCCGCAATACGGTAGACAACTCAAACTCGCTGATCAGAGCCACTGAGTGCTGCTGCATCACTTACTATAGATTTCCAAACTGCCTATGGAAGCAACATCAATGCAATAATTGTGCCTTCATGAAATGAGTTTCCTTGGCCAAGAAGCTGCACACAGGCCTAAGATTGATATGTGCAGTGCCAAGCATCGGCTGGAGTGGCTGTAAAGCAGATGCCACTGGACGCATAGTGCCAACACTGCTTTACACCGCTCCAGCCGACGTTTGGCATTGCACATAGTTTGGTGAAGGAGGGATAATGGTCTGGGGCTGGTTTTGAGGGTTTTACGCCTGGCACCTTATTTCCAGCGAAGGCTAATGTTACATAATTAATAAAATTTTTATTACGCAAAGAACTGTGTTTACATTTTATTTACATTTTGTATCAACAGTTTTGAGAATGCACTTCTGGCGGTTTTTGTTTGTTTTGTCAAAGGCTACGTTAACATTACCAGGCTGACGTGGCACAAATACGATTTTTTGCCCTAATCTGGCTCTGATGTTTTCAGGGCTGTGTGGACATGCAAATCTGATCTTTTCAAATCTGACCTGAGTCACTTTCATATGTGGTCCTAGATCGGATACATATCAGATTCGTGGCCATGCAACCTTAATGTCAACACTCAGATTGGAATTCATGTGCTTTTTTCCCCCACTGCGCGTGCGCCATCATTCAGTATTACCATGGCAGCGTTAACAGAAGTTAAAACCTGTAAACGGAGGGAAAGCAACACATCTTTTTACCTTTATCTCACTCTAATAATGAACAGCTGAGAGGTGATCAGAGTTAATTATCTTTCAGCGAAGCTAGTTTGTTTGCTGATGACGCATGTGACTCATTCATGTGACGTTACTGAGTACGAAGTGCGCATGCAGGTCATTTCAGGACGCAGGTTCGTTCACAAATTTGAATCACTTACCTAAACGAGTGTGAACCATCGTGTCAGAGAGAATGTGAAGCAAAATTGGTCATTCCGCAGAACAAGACCACATGTAGAACATCAAACTTTTCATCAAATCATAATAAATTATATCCTTTCCATGGATTGAATGTTTAGAATCCACACTTTCATTGGAATTTCTCTGCCTGTTCTAATGAGCTACAAGTGAGAAACAATTCATCTAACATTTCAACATGATTTTGTTTTCGCTGGTGATAATCGTGATGTCTTACAATGAAGAGCTACATTTAAGGTGAAAAACAAAGAGAGTGCATTTTTGAGCATTGTTTTGCTAGTATTTATCATCAATATTCATTTGATAAGCATGCCATGGTCTCCAGCTGCCCACTCAATGCGGGAGATTTGTGTTGAAAATTTAATTGACTTTGCATCTGGCTTCAGCACAGTGGGTCTGACGGCAGGTGGCTTCTTTGTCACGGAGAGGCAGTCCAGCGCCTAAAGGCTTTTCTGTCTTCAGAGAAGCCATCTCAGAGTAGTGCCACATTCCAAACCCCCACCGAACACACAGACACTTTCTATGGCTCTATTTCCAGAAACCATTACTCAGTATCTACCTCAGCAAAAGAGTATCACAACAAACATCAGAGGAGGGGGTTTATTTATTAACCTGGCACTCTGGGCCAGCCATGGCCTGTTTACATTCAGTCTAGGCTAAGCTGAGAGATTTTTATTTATTTATTTTTATTTTTTTTCCCTGGCTGGCCGTGCCCGGTTCAAGTCCAGGTTTCAGTCTGGGCATTGGCTGCTTATGCTCCAGAGAGCAAAGTGAATCAGCCTGGCAGTTTTGAGCACAGCGGTGTTCCCTTCGGACTCTGTTGTGCGCCAGGCACCGACAATTTTACACTACCCCTATCAAACATGACATAGTTCTGTACGCACCAGAGAAATAAGGGACTATTCTTAGCCTCCAGGTCTGCACAGTGTGGTTAACTCCACTGATTTCAACAAACCTCTCATGGATGTCTGAGAGGGAGGAGGAAGACAGGGCCTTGGGGAGTGCTTGGCAAGTTTGGAGGTGCTGTTTGCTGAAGCAAGTACTAAGTTATGTATCATCTATATATGGACCTAACTGATAATTATTGATTGGCTGATAGCATTGGTTGATACTGAGGTGTCATAGATTTATCATGATTGGTAAAAATTCCACAGACAAAGCACCAGTGAATAGAGTCGCCCCCTATCAGCAACACCTATCAGTGTGCAACAATCCCAGTCTACTGATCACCAGCGTTCCTTCCACACACTCACTCTTAGTTCTTGGTAATCACCTGGACAATATAAGAATGCGGGTCCCAATCTTCCTGAAGTATTGCCCATTATCTGGATTGTTCCTTGAATTTCTTGCCATTGCTTGTCATCTTCTAACCTGTTGGCCTTGGAAAGTTCAAGCTCCAGTTGAGTAGTTAGAGGATTGGATGGGTTTCTGATTGCTCGTCTTACAGTTTGCCTCATGAACCAATATGCAAACATAGGCCACAAAGAGACCATATTGTCCTATCCTAGGGTTTTAGTCACGTGAATTTTCTGTTGTGGCCGTATTTGGGACCAAATTTCACTGCTCCGCACGAACGTAACTAGAGGTGAAAGATGGCTAAAACTACTCACCTTACTTTGGATGAGAAAAAACGTTACCTTGACAAAGTCGATAAAATGGGCTGTGATCCTTATACAGTTTCCTCTGAACTCCTGGTCCCACTTAAACTGGCAGAAAGCTACCAAATTTGTGTTTTCCTGACATTTAGATTTATCTTTCACACAACCCCTCTCCCTATTTTGGAGAGTCTCTCCTAGATTTAAAAAAGCACAGAAGCCCATCGGCTCTTCACGTCAGGGTGGGTGAAGGATCCCATGGTGTTACATAAAGAGGAGAAAAACTCTTTGCCATCGTAGGAAGGGTAAGGCAAGCCTTTAGATCACTTTTGCTAATGTTAACAGCCGATAGATAAACAGTCGTGCCCCTAACAGAGCAAACAGTCAAGTATAACTTTACTTCTCGTTTCTGGAGATTTAAATGAGGTTTGAATGGAGAAACATAAACTTTAAATAAAAGACTGAATGTCGTGGGTCTGAAAACTACGTTGTGTTTCGACAGACGTGATTTTGTAAGTTTGCTAATGCAGTTAGTGCAGAGTTCAGGTCCAGTCCTGCAACCCCTGCACTGCATAATCGTGGTTTCCCTGGTTAAAATACCTCATATTATTAACTAATTAATCCCTTCTTGAGCTGAACAAAGTGTGAACAGCAGAGAGAAACACTAAACTACACAGTGCAGGGGCTCCAAGCCTGGAGTTTGAAAACACTGAATTAAAGGTCTGTGTTATTCTCAGCTTCTATCGCGTCTTGCAGGTCAACCATTCACAAAGCATAGCAAACCAAAGGCATTGCACTACGCAGTAACTCCCTGATTCGGTCCCCAAAATGGTGGCGACATGGAACAGCTTTTTTGGAAATTGTCCATAGACATTCTAATATCACACAGCGTATGTCTGGCAAAATATATGAACAAATATTGTTCATATCATGCATCCTGTAGAATCTGATACATATAATCTATGGAATCTCAGAGTTAACATTCAGAGTCATTTCGCAAGAATATTCCAAATCAAATTAGCGTCATGCAACTAGTACTGAAACATAAAAAAACATTTTCACTCCTCACCTCAAATATCTCTGCATTACAAACACCTTGGGTTTTATTTCCCTATTAACAAATTTTATACACCACATTTAACAGCGTCACGGTTCGGGTTTGCTCTAACGTGATTTTTTAATCACGCCTCATATCAGATTGTGTAGCGCATGTACTGCGAATGCATAAATAATGCAATAGTCTTACCAGCTATGGTGGCTCTTTTTGGTAGGATGGTGATGGCTCCCACTGCTGCATCCTCAAGTCCATGAATGGGGCTGTTTTTTGCCCCCCAGCTGTCTGACCCAATCCACACGAAGTGCCCCACTTGATCTGCTCTTTTACTGGCGTTCAGAATCTCCCTAGAAGCAGTTTCACACACAGAGACACAAGCATGAGATTGAGCATGAGATCGCAAAATAAACACCCATGCATTCATACATTTGCCATATGTTTTTATCTGTAAATGCTATATTAAAACTTACCCTTTAGCAGTTACTACTTTCGTTATATTATTTAAAAAATAACTATGATATTACATACATACATGTGATTACATGGTGAGTTATGCAAATAATTACATTTTACATTGTCTACATTTTGCATTGATATTTTATTTGCACCTCTGACTTCTCGGTCACACTTTATTTGGATGGTCCTCTATAGATGCTCAACAGATATTTAAATCATTAACAAACCTTCTGGTGATAATCAGTTGATTATCAGCAACACTATGGTTAGGGTTAGGGTTAGGAGTAGCTGAAGGTTTTGCTTTGAGATTAGGGTCAGGGTCAGGGTCAGGGATAGATTTAATACAATCTTTCACACTGGACTTGTAGTTCAATTGTATTGACTGGAAATTTAGTTAAATGTTACTTAAAGACAGACTGAGCATTTACAAAACATCTACAGGGGACCATCCAAATAACACTCAACTTAAAGTTTAGTTGCATTTAATGGACATTTAGTTAAACGTTACTTATAGACATGCTGAGCATTTACAAAGCGTCTACAGTGGACCGTCCAAATAAAGTGTTACTGACTTCTCAATCAGTTTCAAGGTCAAAAAATGACAAAAAACATAGAAGACAGAAATGTCTACTTTTACATTTTGCTTTAAGGGGTTAACAGTGACATGGAGAGTAAATAAAAGCATACCGAATATCTTCATCATAAGCGAACATAATCACTGCTCTAGCCGGACGTGTGTCAAGCAGCATCTGAATGATCTTGTCAAAGTCCGCTTGCTTGTGGTCGTGTGGGATTTTCAGGGACTGGGCAATGCATATTCCACCTGCAGAGAGAGGAGAAAAACATCTCTTCAGTGAAGCAGCTTATCACCTAAGAAATTTGTTACATTTGAGATCAGATACTGGAACTCAGTAGTTTCTAAAAGTCACAACGAAAAACAAAGAAGTTTTATCAATGAGTCGACAAGTGCAGGGATTATTGTAGATAGTAATAAGACACAACACCTGCTTAATTACAAACTGGTAATAAAGCTGCCTGAGGTTTAATCCTGAGGGTGGAGCTAATGAGAAAATGTCGCTGAGTGCTAATGAGAGCCAATAGCGGATTCTTCACAGGCTCCGCTTAAGGAACAATGAGCGGTTACTTTACACGTTGAATATGGTATTGCAGGCCACTATCAGCTTGTGCACAAAACAAAATAAAATAAAATAAATTGTGTACTGCGAATGAACTAATCAGACATAATAATAACCCCCTTCCCACTCAACAGCCTAAGATGTTTCCTGGGTGACGACCAAAACAATAGCACAGTTTAAGTCCCAGTAATTCTAAAAATCTTATTAGCAGGAAACACAGCCTAATGGGTATAACCCTTTAAATGCATTTCTTGCTATAGTCACTTGACTTGACTTGGCTATATAGTGCTTGTACATACAATAAGGTGCAAAAGTCAGAAACCACCTTTTATTTATTTAATTTCCAGTCAAAACAGCCATTAACTACAAGATATTCATTGTTCAGCATCAGATTATATATTAACAGATAATATATGTAATTAACAAACAAATAAATAAATAGATAAAAACCTAGAATCCCCAACAACTAATTACTATAATTAATAGGATTTTTCAGTATCATATTTTTTAGTGTCATTCTTTGCGAGAGATCTGCTTTTAATTTTTCAAAGAAATCTGCAGGAATCTCTTGCCCACACCTCCAAAGTTCAAGTTTAGAAGCTGGCTTAGCATTTTCTGCTTCTCACGATCCAAGAATGACCAACACATTCAACAATGCTGAGGTCTGGACTCTGTGGTGGCCAGTCCATTGTTCTGAGAGCACCAACAGAAACACCATGAGGTAGAAACATCTTTGTTTTTGCTTTAATCTGAAGCAAGAGTTAAAGTACTCAACAATGAAATCTTTAAGCACTGCTTATCTGATGAGGACAGTTTTCGGTGGACTATCAGGTCTTGAGCAGTTGTTACAAGACCCATTGTCTCAGTTTGATCACTTTTTTTTTGACCTTGTGCTAGTGGATTATCTTATATCTAATCTCCTCAGAAATATCTTCTGAAAAATGAGTAGCATACGCTTAATGGCTGTTTTCACCAGAAATTAGGCCGAATAAATGAAGGGTGACCTCTGACTTTTGCACAGTACTGAAAGGATGTACATTGTTTAGCAATTGCCCAGTTAATGTATATAGTTTTAAAGAAATACTTATTTATGAAATCATCAAAACAATCCTTAGATAATATGATAAGTAATATAATCCATAACGACAGCTCTATTTAACAGGTTACACTAAATTGCAATGCAACTGTACAAATTAACTCACAGGCTCGATTTTTAAACAAGAGGTTATAAACCTGTTTATAAAAGAAAAATTCCACTCGATTCTTGAGCCGCCTGTTAAAGTGATGTAGTACTTGGGCTAACGACAGCTGCACCTTGACTGTCATCAAGCCTGAATCACCCAGGTGATTCATCTGACGTGAGGCACTGGTGTCTGAAGACATGAAGAATTCAGCTTGGGCACTTTTACAAGCATCGGGTCAGAAAATTGGAAATGTGATAAAGCGAAATGCATAAAAGTTGAGCCATAAAGGTTCGGCCTGGCCGCTGCCACACGCTGGCTGTTCGGAGGAGAGCTGTCGCCCCTGGCAGCCCTCCATGGCCTCGTCCCAGCGAAAGGCCTCATTTCTGCTTCCGTCGCTCCAAATATTCATGGAGGAACTTCACGCTGAGCCACAGTGAATAATATGGTGGAGATACCAGGCTTCACTGTGCTGGCATTTGTTGTTGTTTTTTCAGAGGGTGGGGGATTCAGAGCCATGCCTTTGTGATACAAATGCATGTGCTAATGCTCTATTCAAGTGAGGACATACAAAAAATGTTGGCGCCATGTGTGCATGTTAAATACAAGCACGGTGCGTTTCGATATGCCACCTCCTTCATCTTGGGAATACAAAGACAAAGCTCTGCACAAAGCTCTTTACTATAGACAATGCAGGGGAAATTATGGGAAGCGCAGAGGTGTGTGCTAAGGAAGACTGAGTGCTTGAGACTGCCACAGAAGAAACTGGAATGATTTAATAACTGCTCTTCGGAAGGCCAGAGTTATTACTGGAAGGGACGGCGCAGTAGAGGCGATGGAAAAGCCATTGCCGTACAAGACAGATAAGGTGGTGGAGGATGCAGGCAGACTAGGATACAAAATACAGAGGGTGACATTCAAATAAATAGGCCACCGAGAGAGGACGGCAGGCAGTACAGGACAGTGCAAACCAGCAAATAACAGCTACATTATTAAAATAGTCAGTGTATGTTTTGGCCTGCTGACTGAATCGATCAAAACTAAGTGATGATCTCACTACAATGAAAGAGTTTGTGGATTTCCATCTACTTTATTTATCCAATCTTCTCAAATGGTTAGCAAGCTAGCAAGTTCATCTTTATGTTCCCACGGTTCTATGTCCCTCTGGTTCTTCATTTTCTCCTTGAAATATCTAAGTAACAGCCCTGTATTCCCCAGTGTTCCCTCTTTGTAATACTGGAAACAGCCTTATATGCCCATGGTCCTATGTTCCCTCATTGACATTTTCAAAGGAAATAGCGGTAACACTTTCTATGAATGTCACCTTTGTAAGCATCTATAAACACATTTATAATATGTTATAATGCCTTCGTATGGCATTATAAACATGATTATAAACATTTATAAAAATGAATTACACTGGATTACACTTTATAGCCATGTTTATTATACATTATGAATTGTTAATATAATGCATTATAAGTAGTGTTAATAACATGTTATAATGTCAGTGCCAAAGAAGTCAGTCCCAGCTTGGAGAGTGTAAAGTAAAGACAAATACCAGGCTAACGGTGGTGTATATTGACTTACCCACATTGGGTAAAGCACTGATGGCAGCACTAGTTTAAACTCTGACATTTGAAGCCTGTAATGAGCTTTACTGTGAATGTTTTAGTGTTTCAGTAAATCCTTCAGTAAATGCTTTAGTACAGTACTCTTCACTTTACTTAGAGCGGACAAATACAACTTATGAGCTCTTATAATTTGTTATGATCAGTACTTATAATGTATTATGTTAACAATTCATCATGCATAAGCATGGCTATAACGTGTAATGCATTTTTATAAATATTTATAGCTATGTTTATAATGCCTTATGAATGCATTATAACTTGTTATGAATGTGCTTATAGATGCTTACAAAGGTGACATTCATAGAAAGTGTTACCGAAATAGCTTTATGTTCCCATGTTGCCACATATCTTCTTATTAAAATAAGATTAATATCCATACTTCTGGTATATTTACAAATATACATATCACTGTTATCGGCAGAAAACCTCGTATCTCCAAAATGATAACCTACTTTACTTTAATGTAGGTCAGTGGAACCAGACTTTTTTCCAAGAAATTTTGGACCATTTCTTTCGGTCCATTCATCATGAAATTTACACATAATGTAAAGGGCAACAGGCATTTTCAAGTTATGTCAAAAAACTGAAAAATTACAAAAATGGAGATACAAGGTTTTGTTCCGCCTGCAGCGATATTCTTATATTATATGTGCAGTAAATAAAATCTGAAATTGTGTTTATGCACATGCTGCCTCCAAATAGATTAAAACACACTGATCATTTCAGTGCATAAGATAAGAATCTATTCAGAATCTATTCAGTGATCTATTCAGCGTTCAAATGTTTTAAGCAGTAATTTATTTGAGCATCACACAATTAACACTGCAAAACATTACCAAATTTGGCGTTCACACTTCAGCACATCCTCAACAACATCTACCCTCCATTTCTTTACATATCTGCTCCTTGTTGTCCCCTGTATGACCTTTGATCTCATAATGTTCAGCAGGACCACTGGATCCTATTTTTATGGTCTCTCAATCTATTATATTGAGGTATGATGTATCAAAAAAGGAAGTGACAAAAATGAATCATTAAACGTTAACAAAATTTAATGTATGTAGGATTTGCTGGGTATGCAAGGTATAGGTTTGCTGAATTTAAGTGCTTAAGTGCTTAAATGTGTTTTGTTTTGCTGATTAGTCTAGTTTAGCATAGTCTAGTTCAAAATCTAATAATTCATCTCCCACCTGAAGGTGTTTCTATAGCATTTCCTTCTACTTCAGCAATCTCATCTTCTAGCTAGCAAGTTAGTTAGCTAGACAACTTAACGGGCCGACCGGCAAGCCAAAGTTTTATTATGCAGTTCTATTATCTAAGAATAGCTCAGCCAGTTTACATCGAGGTCCCCATAGTTACTTATGCAATAGAACACGAGAGGGAGTGTGTTATCACGAAATAACATCAAGGCTGTGATTTGGTCACAGTAGATCATCACAGCCGTGATGTTATTCATGATAACACACAACCTCGAGTGTTCTATTGCTTTTATACAACAGTTTAATAAATAAAGTAAGAAATAAGTAAATTGGGCTGTGAACATGGCATTTAATGTTTTAATTATTAGCAATTCCTTCTGCCAAATTACAGTTCCTTAACAAGCAGCTTGTTGCTACGTCAGAGTAACGAACTCCGCTCACTCTCTGCACAGTCTGCTGTAAGCCTCGCCTTCTGAAGTACAGACTGAGCCATAAAACTGCTGCAATATCAGGTTTAGCTCAGTGTTGTCATTTTTTGCTAGATCAATTTTAATGTTGTTTTGTTCCAGCCAGTCTGTAAAGCTTCTTACAGCCCATTTTGTTTGGCGAATGGTATTCAGTTCATTTCTGGCTAATTCCAGGTTGTTTAGGTGTTCTTCTGTCACAGCTGCTG